CACACACACATACACACACTTAAAGGAGCACGACAGAAAGCTTTATCTCACAATCATAATTTTACTGTTCCATAACGTACAACAGAAATGATATAAATATAAATAAATATTGTTGCTATAATTATTATATATTTTACTTCAAAAATGACAAGACGGACATCATTAAATGATAAGTCACAAGGGTGACATCAAATCACTTTCAACTCGGTTCAAAATACAAACTGCACCAACAGTTTACAGTTTATTTCTTAAAATCTCTACATTTTAAGAAATGAAGTATGTACGTCACCATTTTCCATTTTCTTTCTGTTTTGGAAAAAAAAAACGGAGTTGAAAGTGAAATGAACTGAGCCCTGAACGGTATATCTTCACATCCAAAAAAACTAAACAGACAAGTTTTAATAAGTTGCAGTTCCTATGGTTCACTGATGGCCAGCTGATGCCAGTGTTTAAAAAAACCTCCAGAAGTTTCCTCTGTCAGGTGCTGAGAAACAAGAGTTGATGTTCCCATGAATGCCCATTCATTTTTAAAGGTTACAACAATTCAAAAAGACGTTCATAAACCTTGGGGCAACGATGGACAAAGGTCATGTGATGGCAATGCCTGCAGTTGTGCTGATGACCACAAGAGGCAGTCTCCAAGAAACACCTTTAACTGAGTGGTATTCTTTAAAAAAAATTCAGATGTGGCACATTTAAACAAATGGGTCAAATCAACCAATAAAGTGTGAGCAAATGCATAAATTACAAATCAAACATTACAGAAAGAATAACAAATATGTGAATGGAACAATTATATAAAAAATAAACTTATAAATATTCTTAATTTTTGCTATCTTAAACAAGTAAACACAACTTTAGGGACCATACTAGGGGTTTGTTCATTCATAATAAGCATCTCACTACGAGGTCCATTCAGTAGCTGTTCGGGAGCTTTCTAATCACATGATCTTTGGCAGCAGATGGAGTTTGCTCAGCTGTCAAACTGTTCTCAAACTCCATCTGCTAATGAAGACCATGTAATATGATAATAAGAGCTCCGGAACAGTTACTGAATGGACCTAAATGTGGTAAGATTGTTCTCTCAGCTGCTGTTCCCAAGATCAAGACTGAACTTTGAACCTCAACATTTAAGCAAACATGGACAAGAAGTCCTTAAAGTGCTCAGAAAATTTCAACATCTACAATTCCATGGCAACCAGGTGAGCTCTGTCTGCTGCAGAAGATTATTGTGATATAATTTAAAGCTCCAGAATGGTGCTTGAGGTGGGGCTGTTTTCTTAACGGCTGTTTCCAGGGTCAAGAACAAACTTATTTTACATTACAACACAGTGTCACTCCTAAGTCCTCAAACACTGCCGCTGAGGTCAGTCGCCATCCATTTCAAAATATCCCTTATATGTCATTTGTTGACGCATTCGCTGTCAAAGGACTTCAACCGAGGAGACAATTTTTTGTGTCCCATGTGAAACCAAAAGTAAATTTCTTTGTAATGTATGCAAATTAACTATCGGAACGTACTTATGTGACATACAAGCAGCAACCTCCGTAGCTAGCAATTTAAGCAAACACTGAAGTAACTGCAGTTCTTCAAACGGCCACTTGAGGCTGACTACAGTAATAAGTCAATCTCCATAAGGCCCCATATCAAAATGCCCGACTTTACAGCAAAAATAAACATATTTACAGCCTGGCGCAAAAAACGGTTTTGGTTTCTATAGCTAATTTACCTGTTCATGACAACTGTACGAGGGATGAAATTTGATATAAAGTTGAGACTTAAAAATTATGAATAGGTGGGTCTCGTCACAGCTTCAGCTCCACGCACGCTCCACTACAGCTGGGAGCCGGCGGAGGAGGACTCCCAACCACACTGAGCTTCACAACTGCTCTTCAGAAACCTATGGGTGACGCCATGGAAACCACGTCCATTTGTAAATATACAGTCTGTACAGACTGTATATACTATTTGAAAGCTAACCAGATTTGCATATTAAATTTGCAAACTACAAAGCATAGTATTGAACAATTGGAGGTGAGCACACGTACATTACTGCAAGCTAAGATTTTAAACTCACTTGAGTTTGGCAATCCATCACAGTTAATATCATATCTGCTTTCATTGTTTTCAAAAGTTTAATATTTGACAGAAATATTATTCACAGCGATGCCATCTTAAGCCAACTTTCAAGTTTCTGTAAGTTGATCTTGATACTGTAGTTAAATTACTGGCTGCCTGGAAGGTAGGAAAACATTCAAAACTCCATCACTGTTAGATAGGGCAGCCCCACAATGCGCTTCTTGGTTTTAGCTGGAAAAAACAGTATACATACAAGTATGTGAAATCATAAGCAGGGAAATAAAAAGAGTGGCAGTAAAATTGGATTGGACTGTGAGAAATGTATTTAAAAAAAGATAAAAACTAAAGAAGAAACAGAAGACTTCTGCATAGTCGGACGCAGACACTGAAGCTTAAATGTCAATATCTAACGTAATTGTTTGAATAAATATAATCTTCACAGTGCGCATGGAGGAGTGAACCAACTGCGGTTCAGTGTCTGGTCTACGCTCCCAGAGAGGAGACCGTTGTTTGTCTTTATTGGTCCATTTTCTTTGCTGGGTTTTGTCACTTTACAGGTCAATAATATGATTAAACCATTTAATATACTGTCAGCGTAACATAAACTTCAATGGCATTATGATGCATTCATGTCATAAGGGGACAGTTAGATATCAGAGTGTTGTGATAGAAGTTTGGTGTATAGTTATAATACAAAATCAGGGAGGCAAATTCTTTATTTATTTGGTTTTATAAATCTTTTATAAGATTTTCCAATTTGATGGCTAATTTTTACTGTCTTTCCCTTATGGCACAAACACAGACACGTCTGCTAGAGGTCCTGTCTGCTTTCAGGAAGTGTTTCATTTTTTGGTTTGACAAAACAGTGATATGAGATAAAAAGGAAACACAAAAATGTAGAATTTCAGTACTTAATAAACAAATATACTATGAAATCACCATTTAAAATGAAGGCAAAAAGAGAATATCTTTAAGTTTTTCCATTTTTAAGAATTCACATCCTATCTTTCTTCAGATTTCAGGATACCGCAAATTTTACAAGAAATATGCTTTTTTGCATTAAGTTAGACGAGAAGATCGATACCACTCATGTCTGTATGTTAATACTGAAGCTATACCTGAGAGATGTTAGCTTAGCTTAGCATAGCATAAAGTTGCCAGGCATCGAGCGGAAAAAATGTGCCAGGCCAAGAAGTAGTCCCGCACTTAACATCCTGTGGATCCACAAACAGATGCTTTTTTCCCCTTCAGATTAAAGAGAGGAGATGCTTTCTGCTTTTATGCTAAGCTAAAATAACTGACTCCAGGTACATAGTTACCATACAGACATGAGAGTGGTGTCAATCTTTTCATCTAACTCTCAGCAAGAAAGTGAATAAATGCGTTTCCCAAAATGTTGAATTATTCATTGAAATGTGTGTTTCTTCTTGTCTCATACATAGAATCCTTGAAACCAAAATGAAGATTGCTTGTAGGGGGCTTTAATGTATATATTTTCTTGAATTATTTTGAGTATGATGTGCAACTTAGAAGGTTTATCAGATTCAGAATCAGAATCAGAAATACTTTAATAATCCCAGGGGGAAATTATTTTATGTATTTTAGAAGGCTTTTGTAAAATAGATAGTGTATAGGAGCTGGATGAAAAACAAACAAACAGGGAAACAGTATATATATTTGTTGATACTTTATCAGAGGGGGTGATTCAGTTCTTTGTGGTGGGATTGTATTGAATTGCATTATTGACTTGTGTCTAATATATTTTATGATCCATGAATGCAAACACTTCCTGAACCATTGAGGCCTCAGTTGATTCTGTTATGGGACGCGAGCATCGATTGAAGCCGTAATGTGACTGAATGTGTTTGTGTTGTTGGATGGAGCCCGGTGGTGTCGGCGTGAGAGGAAGTAGCCTCTCACACCTCACGTCCCTCTATCGACTTTTCAAGAAGTAAGAAACGGAGCCTCTTTCAGGCTGATGATGACCATGCGGTTTGGAAACTGTACAGGTTACTGAATGGACCTTTAAAGTACGCAGCACAAGAACTATGTAAACTGTCAAGTCAAAACAGACAGTACACCAAAAAACGGGAGATATGAGGGTTTCAAGTGAGTGACAGCAGCATTATGATAGTGTTTCTGTTTTCACATGCTCTATGGCCTGCCCCACAGGCAGAGACATGTAGCAAAAGAGTTGGGTTGCTCACATGAAGCTCCTAACTTGTAATGAAATTAAGTGTTTAACTAAACACTCCTTGGCATTAAAAAAGTTCCTTCCATGTCGCTGACAGAACTCTTTCTCTGCATGTCTCTGGTCCACTGGCATCACAAACAGACCGTAGAAAAACAGTAGCTTGTTACATTATAAATACTGGAATAATAAAAATGTGAGGGGTGCTTGATTCAGTTCCTCTTGATGTTTCCCCTCCTGAGACTGTTGAGGTGTCTGGAATGGTAAATCAAGCACCCCTCAACTAGCTCAGAGATTTGAAAGTGACTTTCAAACATATACTGTATGTACACAGTCAAAGCACTGGGACAGCAAGCTAAAGTTAGTTTTTTTTTTTTTTGCTGGTGTCGTTATTGTGGTATACTGCAGTTCATCGCACTGAGGCCAAAAAAACAACCAGAATCAGCAGCTAGCTCGGTCCATTTTTCCTCAAATACATGGTGTGTATTTACACTGCACATGGGGCCACAGCATGAAAGACTAAAGGCGAGTATCAAGGCAAAAATCACTTTGTCCTGGATGAACTTTCAAAGCACTTCCAGTCAAATTACAGCTTGTAAGACACGTCGATGTACAAAAAAAAAAAGAAATTATATGGAGGTGAACATCTCTTAATCTACAGTATGTTACTAGTGTCTTTATATTCATACTCACTGCAACCATTACTGTGACTTCTTTGTATGAGCTCCAGAATTGGTGGGAATTATTTCATGAAGGTTTGAGAATGTATTTTGGAGGTTTTGTTGAGATGGATAGCTAATTAACCATTTATCCATAACTTCTAATAGTAATGCCTTAGTGGTTAAATAGATAGCTAAAAAGTAATCGATGAATGGTGGAAATTGTGAGCAGCAACTATTATAAAAAATCATGAAAGACCTAAAGTAGTGGATAAAATACTGTAGATTTCTTTAAGTAATAAATAAACAGTTGAAATAGTTAGCTGAAAATGGTTTATAAAGCTTAAAAGAAATGGATAAATGGATACATTTCTACCACTCAAATTTTACCTTAGACAGGGCTGTGGGGGTACATTAGAGGAAAAGGTTGGGAACCACTGATCTTAACACTTTATTTGTAGGAAAAAACTCAAAGTGAGTGCCTGAAATGTCTGTAAGAGCTCTACAGTCTCTTTATATTAAAACTAATCTGTCCGTGTGAGACCTGGAAGGATGCCCTTTCTACTGGAAATTTGACATATGGCATAATAGGAATCGGAAAGATGGTCCAACAACTACTCCAACGACTAAAATAACACATTAATGTGTCAATATTTCTTGTTGAGACTTTATATGTTAATAATACAGCTCTCATCTTGATATGATGACTTTAAATGTTAAAGAATATAGTTACATTTTATCAGTGGACTGTTATTTAATTTGTCGACACTGGGGAGGGTAAGATTCACTGATTCGCATCGGTGCACTGACAAAGAAGTTCAAGATGTGATTGCCCTGATTCAAAAAGTGTGATACAATCTGGGATAAACTTGAGGATGCATCATTCTAACAGCTTTGCATCGGCAAAAATAATGTATTTATATATAATTATTAGTAGAGGCACTATGCCTTTATTATTTAGACATGTGACCAAAAATCTTATATTTAGATTTATTCTTCCTCTCTAAACCAAAGAAATAAAATCAAACTAAATGTAGCATATTGAATTACATAGCATTATAGTTTTTTGCATTGTTTAACGTTATCAGTCAAATTTCCTCTCTCACATTCCAACTTGAGAGCCAAAGATGTCTCTCAAAGGGCTGCAAGTGAACCTCTTCAATATCTCAACTCATGGGTAATGAAGTCCTTTAAACTTGACATTATATGTACCACTTTAGAGCTCATACAAATGTCACGTTGTGCACAGTTGCAGATGGTATAAATGCAGAGACCGTCGACTAATGTGTGTATGTCACCTCACCTCCTGCTACCGTGCACACTGTCATGATGACGCACTGACAAGCCTCACTACTCATCGTGCTCACCACGTATGGAAGCCCTAAGGTTGCAATCACACCGGAATCTCAGTACTGCCCGACTGATGGGAATGCTGTGATTAGCTGTGGACGTTTGATATTAATGTCTTTCAGAACCTTCAGTTTGATCGCTGTCCAACTTTAGCTCTCTGTCCCATTACTTCATTTTTTTTGACACAATTGGGATTTTTTTTTTGTTTTTTTGCCAGTCAGAAAGAGAAGTACTGCGAGTACAGCTCCTCTTCTTTTGCAACGTATTCTTTGCTTTTTCCTGCCTCCACCCTCCTCGGGTCGGATGGTGTTGTGGCGTTGTCCTCAGGAAGGCTGAGGAAGAGAAGATGAACAGATGTTAAACAGATGAGAAGGAAGGAGACAGAGAGGCAGTACCAGTGCTCACAGTAGATACCAAACAAGTGAATGCTGGTGTGACGTCCACAGTCCAGGATGCAGATTGGTCCATACATGATTTTACGTGACATTAAAGGGATTTCCTCACATTCAAGGACATGCACAGAAAGAGCCTGGGACCAAACCATAAACAGCAACTTCCATCCATCCGTTTTCTAAACGCAGCTTACAGATGGCGAAAGGAGGGGTACACCCTGAACGATTCTATCACAGATCTGACAAAAAAATAGGCTGACAACCCATCACACAGGCCTGTCACGATAACTGCTCTTGTTGGACGATGTGTTGTCCCAGAAATATTATATAAAGAAACATTTGGCACAGATGCAGGCTTTAGAGGCATTCATGAGTAATGGTAGGTAAAACCCTGCAGTTTATTCTGACATCACGTTGGCTAAAATGTTGGTGACATTGTTAAGCCAATATTGTGGTGAAAATTACATGGTGTATATATATCGTACAATAAGTTGACCATTATTGTGACAGGCCTAGCTGTGCAAAGCCCTTTGTGGAGAAGGTTTTGAGAGTGAAGGTTTTGAGAAGTGTGGAATTTTGTATCCCTTTTGTAAACTGTTTCTCACAAATCTGACAATGTTATATTAGTATAATGCTACACTGGTAGAGTACTCAGTGGAGTGGTCCAAGACTCCCCGTGTGTTTTGGACAATGGATGGCACTTTGTTTGGTTATATAAATGGTGATAAGTGGCAGATGACTAGATACAAAATTTTCACAATATAAGCGCACATTGTCATCAAGTTAAGTTGTGCTGCTGAAAACTATAGAGGTATACATTTAAAGTGTGTAAGTGATATGTTTTTGTTAATCCAGTCCCTCCTTTCTGCAGTAAACAGAGAATACATTTTCTGGTAGCCCGTTCCCACTTTATCCAATCAGGAGAGAGAACTCTACAAAGAGGTGGTCCTCAAGGGCAGGCAGCAGAATGTCAGTGTGGCGACGCGGGGAGGAGGGAGTGGACTGCTAGCTGCATTGATAGGAAGCTAGCCAAAATGCTGATTTAACTTACGGCATCTTTGAACAAATGTAAGAATAACAAACTGTAACTGACCAGTTAAGATGCAGCTCTGCTTTAGAGATTCAAACAGAATACAAAACTGTATATACAAACTACTATAACTAGAACTATGTATATATAAACTACTATAACTATATATATTTAAAAAGCCAAATCATTTTGTGTGTTTCCCCCCCTTGAAATCAGCTTTTTCTGAACAAACATTCAGATTTGAAACTCTTTGGTCCAGCTGCTTTGCAGTTTACGCCCTCCAGTGGCAGACCTCCCAGTGTTTTCTAATCAGTGCTTGCAGCAAGCAGCACTGCTTCATCTCCGTTTACTGTGTGTGACCGCTGCCTTTTGTCTGGGAGCACAGGCACAAAGGCCTTATCTTACAAGTTTCACATTGGCAGCTTGGACTTTTAAAGTTACTGCAGTGCCTTTAGATCACTCTTTTCTTGCTTTGCGTCATTCAGAGTTTGAGTTAAGTCCCATTGAGACTGATTTGTAAGTGCAAAGTTTCAGGGTTGGCTCCTCTTTATAAGCAACTAAAGGCAGACAGGGTTGACAGCGAAGATTTGGAGCGTATATCAAAGAGGTTTCTTGTGTGATAGTTTCATGATTGGAAAAAGGGAAATGAGATGTTAAAGCATAATAGATCAAAAAGGGATTATATCTTCACTATACTGAAATGAATACATCTAGATTTCTATAGGATAGTTAAAGCTGTAACATGTAACTCTAGGCCTATGTTATCCCAAATGTTTCCAACAATGTGCAAACCCAGAGAAATGTGTCATTTTATTCAGGTAATGGTGCGTTTCATTGGTCACCTGTTGATGGGCTAATATCCATGGACATTTTTCATGACAGTGTGAACAGCACAAATCACACAGAATCAGATCTTTTCCAATTCTGATGGTCTGTGGTCCTACATCAGATAAAATTCTACAATACAACCTCAGAGTGAACAGTCATATCATGTGACTTCGATGTCACTGGATCAACATTCATTACAATTCTGCGCAGGTGGGAGTCACTCGGCTGTGATGGAGGTAGTCAGTGGTGGGACAGTGAGGTGTAGACCTCATAAGTATTAAAGGTGACACACCTGTACAAGTAAAACTTGAGGGATCGAATAGTAACTCCTGTGTGTTCACTCACACACCTCCATACAGACGTTTAAATAGACCCTTTAATAATAAGCCCTTCTTTGGGTTTGGGGGAAAGGGGTGAGGATAGAAGGGAGGGAAACTAAGAAGTGAGGTGAGAGATACAAACAGTGGGGGCAGCACACATCACATATTTCTCTCCCTGAATTATGGGAGTGAAAGTGAAGTGAGGGCAGCAGTGGCAGTAAGTCAGTTAGTTCTCACCTCCTAAAGCTTTGTAGACCCTGATGCTGCACCAGGGCTTCCTGAGGATGAGGAGCATGAGGAAGAGCAAGGCTTGGCATGGGATGATGTGGAGGATGAGGAGAAGAAGAAGGAGGAGGAGGAGGAGTATGCTGAGGAGGAGGAAAAAGAGGGCTGAACAGTGGCAGCGCTTTCCTAAGTCTGGGGAGGGACCTTTGGAGGGGGGAGTGAGGAGGCACAAAGCGGCCTCCTGGTCCTACCTCCTCCACCTCCCGTCCCTCCTCTTCCTCTCCTTCATGACTCATGGTGGGAGGGCTGACGAATCGGAGAGCTGACTGGCTAGGAAAGCTGGTGAAGCGGTGCTCTGATTGGCTGCCTGTTTTTGACTACAGACACACATAGAAAGGCAGGGTTGGGGAAGATGATTCTGTGTTAGTTTGGAGCAAATCATCTCTACATCAGCTGTGTACTGAAAGCATACGCAGCTGTCACCACCGATATGTGGTACAGACGGTCAGAGGTGACCAGAAGGCAAAAAGCCCTTTACTTAAAATGACCTTTAAGAATGCAGGAGCTGACAAAGCCTGTTACTCTCGCCTTTCCACTGTGACTGCATTAATAAAAACATCTACTCCAAAGCCAGATATCCTGTTTGTCTTTTGTGTCGAACATGTAAAACCACAAACCATCCAAACCAAACGAGGGCAAGTGCTGAGCTAAAAGTGAGCAAGTAATGAGATAATGAACAAATAAACAGCTTGCACACAGCAGGGCTCTGCGGTGTGACCATTTGGTTCCACAGGGCATGGCTCCGTGTTCCATCCTCCACACGGCTTCATACCCCACCGGGAGTGTTTCAGAAGATTTTATTGGTCATTTTTCCTTGCTTTTTGTGCTTCTACCATGGGTAAGTAGGCTTCACAGGATGTTTTATTTTGAAAATTGACTGGATTCTCTATGCCGTTCCATTGCCCTACCTGGTAGGATACATTTGTTGCCAGTGAATACTACAGAGCTGCATTTATTTTGTTGTTCATATGTTCATTTTTATAAGAGATCTGAGGACGAGGACTAACCAATGTGTTTGTTAAATATAACGCTATCTCGGGTAAGGAGTTTGGCTGGGGTTTGGGATGAGCAGGACAGAAATAAAAATGAAAAAATACTACTTGGCCTCTGAAGTTGTGCTCAGTTACTACTGTAGATAGCAAGCTAGTTAGCTGGACATGCTAACAAATACAAAAAACAAAAAAACCCAAACTGTTTAATCCAGTCCTTACACATTGCATTTGGAAAAGCTAAAGCAGAGGAACCACCATCCAAACTCTTTATGTATTAAGTAACATGTAGAGACATCCAAAGCTTGACAGACCTGCCATTCCTAGTTACAGTTGCTAAGCTATGATTGGACAATTGCTGTTTAGGGTCATCGTGCAGCCAATTGCATAACCCGGGTTGCATATGCAATGAACACGACTGTGCATGTCAACCACAATAACAAGAAATGTGATGCTGTATGCATGTAGAAATGAGAATATCTGAGAATATGCTGAAAAGATCGCTGCATGTCAGTTACACTTCTGCATCTGGTAAACCCACTTTGAAGTGTCATACAGTTCATCCTACTGACAGAGATTATTTCCAGGATATCAGGATATTTGGTCATTTTAATCAATTCCATTACTGGAAAACTAGTCTCTGAAGTTCCAGGGAACCCTGATAATACGATTAAAATGAGACTGGATGAATTTTGTTGAAATAGTGGTGGTCTAAAAAGTGGATCTGAGAGCTAGAGAGGTGTATTGCTGTCTATCACAGATTACTACCACTAGAAGCTGCCAAAGTCAGAAGTATTCTAATCATGCACATGGGGGCTTAGAGGTGTAAGTGAGAGAATCAAGGATGCGTATGTTATCTAACACGAACAGCCCGCATGTGGAGGAGGAAACCGATGTTATGATGCTGAAATCAAGCATTATTGTTCCTGAATGACTCCTGCTTTCAAACAGTAGGTCTGACAGCTGTGTACACATAAGAAGGATGATGAGCAGCTTTGTACACAGAGATCAGTCTTTACGACACACTTGATGGGAGGCAGCAGGTTTTCAGGTAGAATGGGATGATTTTGTGCTCTGATGATTTATAGTGCTCAAACAATAGGCTAAATGGAAGGTAATAATAACAAATACCAGAAGACGACTGAATAAAATGAAAATAATTTGACATACAGAACTAAAGTTTGAGTTGAACGATGACAAAACAGCATGATTCAGTTGCCCTCGTCTCTCACTGCAGGGTTGGAGCTGTGCTGATGTAGATACATTATTATGACAGATACCTTTATTACCTTCAATAATGATCAATAAATTATTTAGCAACTGTATATAAAGGGGGATAACTGTGCCAAACTGCTTGCAGTGGCTGCCTTGCTGCTATTAAAAGGCTGTATGTGTGTCAGGCCTGTCACAATAAGTCCTTTTGTTGGATGACATATTGTCCCAGAAATCATTGTGATAAACAATATTATTGTCATTTTAAGACCATTTTATGCCACTGACATGATGAGCATAATAATACAAGTACACCCTTTCAAAGAGTAATGAAATATTGATCCTTTAGAATATTCAGACAATGGAATCTGAATAAAATATTAAAATAGCCTAAATAAATAAAAGGCTTAAAAGTCTTATGATGGAAGGGTTTATTCTGGCATCCTGTTGGCTAAAATGTTCTTACTGGACATCATGTCCACATAATCATACTATACGTTGATATTGGGACAGGCTATGTTTACAGATTGTATATATTTTACGATAAGTCGATAACATAATTAACGTGACAGGCCTAGTGTGTATATATGTGTATGTGTGTGTGTGCTTCAGTGAGGTTGTGCTCACTTTTGTCAACTTGGATAAGACTGGTAAGACTGTGAATGTGTACAGCTGTTTTTTATTTGTTTGCCATATCCAATGGATGCATCATCGAACTACAAGTGTGGTGTTTTTGGGGTGAAACAAAAGCGTGAGCATTCAAAGAGCATTCACACTGTGCTGAGCATAATAAACGGTCGCATACTGTACATTACATTCATTACACTGAGAACACCGTCCGTCATGTGGGGGGGTTTGTGATTCCAGCTGTCTGAGGAGCTATCGAGGGGCTGATGATGTCATAAACACCCACGTGATCCTCGACATCCACGGCACTCGTACTAACAAGGGCTTTCAGGCATGAGACCACTCACCTTGATAAGAGGGTTGATTACACCAACGTTGGCACTGGAATTGAAGACCTTGTTGAATCCTGTCTCTCTGTTGACCAACTCCAACTGGTAAAATTTCTTGTCATCCTATAAAAAAAAAGACCACGTTAAAGTGATACTCAAAATCCACCGAAAGTCTTTTGATTATCAAACTCAGTGTATTTACTTTTACAAAATCATCTTAACCCCACTAGCTTTTTACAGGGCTTTTAACTGATAAAGATCCAAAGATGCAGTTTGTTCAGTTTATTTTGCCAAACTACCATTGCCAAGGTCAAGAAGGAACTTTTACACTTAATATTTAGCAGTTTTGGTAAAAATATGCAGCGCTCTCATAATTTTTTTTACTGGAATTACAGTGTCAGCTCCAGATGATAAAATCTGTTAGCAACAGTTGTGATGTCAGCCGCCAATATCTGCGACTAAAGATTAAATCCAAGAAATCTGATTTGATTGTTTGAGAAAATTGTGCTGTAAGAAGTTTCTGTGGAGGAAAATTGTGCTGTTTTCCTCCTGTGGAAGCTTTGTTTCAGATATTCTTACAATACCAACCATCCTAACATCTCACCTCCCACATCAGATGCCACCCACTCTACTCACCACCAGCTTTTTGACCAGAGCTTCTCTCTCTGTGACCATCTCTCTGAGCTCTGCGATAATGTGCAGGTCTTCTGGTCGGCTTTCTCTGTTTCTTAGCTTCTCCTCTGTCCCCTCCAACCTGGACACACAGACATCACATTGATAAACAAAGTAGAAAGATAGATAGATAACATTTATTACAAAGTGTGTTACAGAGGAGAAAGCAATTAGAAAAAGAACTATGAGACTGTGTTGAACATGCTGAAACAGTTGGAACGACACAGGAGGCTTAATCACACATTTCTGTGACTTACAATATTTGTAGAGCAGAGATCTTGTCTTTGAGGACCTCCTGGGCCTTGTTGAAGTCAGCCAGCATGATTTGTGTTTCTCTGTGATGGACTACACTCATCTCCCCCAGGTCCCTCTCATGTCTCTTTGAAAGGTCTTGTTCATGGGCCCTGAGCCAGAGGCAAACAAAACTCGTAAATAAACCAACACTACAGAAGGTCACATGTAAAGATGACATAAGATAACCTGAACTAATGTGTGCTGGATGCATTTTTCCTTAAGTGCTTCACAACAGCACAAGTTCACACATTAATCATCACTTATGTGCCATTAGGGGCTTTTACTGCAAATGTACCCCATCATAGATACTGCTCACATACACTTAATTTCCGGGTACAGAAACATGAGACAGACACCGCATTTTTACTAAATTATAGAGGAAGACGACAAGATGTGCAGCTGCAAACTTAACTCAGCTGGAGGAGGGAATGAAGGGTCTCTTGCTAAAAAGCCAGGGCTACTTTATCTGTCTAATTTATCTGTCTGCAAGAGGAAGGAAGTAACGAAAAGAGGGTGCTGCATTCACAAAATAGAAGTTTTCTTTTAGGAAAGACGATGTTAATCTTTGCTTGCAGATGAGCAGGACCAGAATTACTGCAGGCAGGGTTAATGGCACGGGCCGCTAAAGCCTGCATGACCAATAATGACCCTCACATACACACTCCTGAGGATGAGACACACCTACATACATACTGAGTGTGACATTTTGTCAGTGCTCTCTGAATACAAACTGAGTAATGATGACACTGTATGTAAATAACCTTTAGAGCCCGACCAATATATCAGTCAGCTGATATTGGCCTGTTGCACACACATCGGTATCGTAACGGTATTAGCATACAGTATATGTTATCTGATATGCGCCGAAGTGAAATCCATTTTTTCTTGTATATAATACAATAGGATGGGTGTTACTGCAAAGTTTATCCAGCAGAGTGCGCTGTGATTTACAATACTGTGGCAAGCTGCAGAATAAGAGAGAAGAAGCAGCTCAAGGCAACGTCAACTGGAATTGGTTACATCTATCTATATATACTGTATCTGCAAGTTGATATTGGCCAGTATATGGGCCTGAGCCATTTATTGTCTAGCTGTAATATCAATGGAGTTGATGGGTTTTTTTTTGTATCTGCAAACAATTATAGGAACCACGGAACTACTTCGACATCAAAATCAGCTTACTAGTCATAGGGAGTACAACTCAGTTTGTGAGTTAGAAATACATACTATAGCATCATGGGAACCATATGATTTTTGGGACTTGACCTATACATGGGACAGAGAGTCAGGGTATCTAGGCGGCTTCCATTTTGACTATGTTGTAACTCTATCTCCAGATGAAAACGTTAAGAGAATTAGGGGAGTATTCAAGGGCAGTGTCTTATTGTGAAATCGATGTTTGGCTTCCTCTGTCTACTGAACCGTGCTGGTGATACGTACCTTATCTGATGATTCGCTTCACTGCGGACCCGCAGCACCTCTTTGCCCTTCAGCTCCAGCTCTCTGGTCAGAGTGTCGATGGTCTCGTTCAGAGAGTGGATCTCATGGTCCAGATCGGTGATGCGGTTGCTACGGGAACACAACTCTGCTTGCAGGTCGGAGATACGACCCAGGAGCTCTTGTTCCTAGACACAATATATGAACAGAGAAGAACAAATAGACGAATGAGTCAGTCGGAGGAAGTTAACTGGGTCACATGCAAACACAGGAAAAGAACAAAGAAGAAAACTTTTTTCATCATAGTGACCTGCTGGTGGCTGTGCTCCATAGCTTTCTCTAGCTCTCGCTTGGTGGCAGTGTTTTCTTTAAGGTGGATCTGCTTCAGATGCTCTATGGCTGTAGCGTGGAGGTGGTTCAGTTCCGCACGAAGAGAAGCTGCCAGAGAGAGACACCGGAGTTAAAGAGAAGCAAGAATAAATATGATTGTGTGTACAAGTGTTATCACTGAGGGCAGATCATAAATAATGTACAGTGTAAATAAATAATCTCCTCTTTTCTCCTTGTTAAGCCTTTTCCACCAGAAGTAGAGCTTTTCATCATCTGACTTCACTTTAAAACCTTTTCATTTTGAGAGATTTTATCTCATGCTCAGCTAAATATCAAAGGCAATTATCCTTTGTTGCAGGCTGTGTCTTTATGTCAGGTATGTGACTACTTCAGATCACAGTCGCTTCAAGGATTATCAGTGCAATTAAATCCAGGGAACCTTTTATAACAACTTTACACAGAAGCTGTCACGAAAAGTAGTGTGTAAAAGTCATTCTAAGTTCCAGTGTTATTAGCTATTGCTTATTATTCTTCTTGAATGCTGATTTCCTTGACAGCTCTTTTACAATTCAATCCGTGAACTCAAATGTCTTGCAGAGGGATGCATCGCCTCTTTGCTCATGGGTGGCTGTTTCCTTCCATTCTTTAATAGTCAGGAGACGGAGAATGAGGATGCCCATAAGCATCACAGCAGGTACAAACAGTATCACCGTGGGTAGAAACATCTTCGCTGAGGGTAGAAAAGTCATTGATGTAGTTGGAAAATCGTGTCGCAAGCAGAGAGGTTGTCACTGTGGATGGAAACATAATGAAAATGGTTTGTTTTTTCATGTGTGTTATTATTCACCCAGCTTTGCTTTCCCCTCATCCTCCAGTTCAAAGCGCAGTGTCTGCAGCTCCTGGTCCGACTGCTGCCTCAGGATTTCTAAAGTCCTCCTGTGGGCCTCCTTCAGAGCGTGAACCTCCTCCCTCTGCTCCTGCTTCAGACGCTCCTCCAGAGCCTGGTACAGGGCAGAGAAGAGAGGGAGGAGGGAGAGAGGAGGATGGGAAGGGAGGAGAGGTGATTTAATACATCAAATGTATGTTTTTACAAGTGGTAACACAGTTGTGAGTAGTGTTGCGTTTCAGAACCCACAGATGCTTTGACATATAATATTTGAGCCGCTTGCGAGCTGGCTGAAAGAAAGCACTGCATTTATGGAGCCATGTTGTTGGAAAATTAAACCCAGAAGAAAAACAATGAGCAAAAATGAACACTGTAGCTGTGACCAAAAACTATAATTCTCATCAAAAAAAAAAATAATTACACTCAAAACAGTAAGTATGCAGGCTTAATCCTCTTGTTTATTGAGTGTGTATCAACAGCACAGTTGATGGACACCAATTGTCCCACCATGCACTGCATTAAAGACATAGAGGAATTGCTTACAGTTAAAAAACAAACAAACACATAGCAGAATTTGGTGACACAGCTCCACCAAGGTTTCAGAAAACTGAGAAATGAATATGAAAACAATGGAACAATATTTAGCTTTCTGTTTGCGAAGTCTGTCATTCCAAAGTTGATTACAACTACGCCAACCAGTCAAGTTTACATCCGTGTCTGTCCAGACTCATATATTATATATGATAATGTATGTGTACAGTGGCAGTAGTTTTGGTTAAATGGAAGTTATCACTATTGTGAAATACTGTCATCAGTTCTTGAATTATGACAAATATTGTTTGTAATGTCATAGTGACCTTTGTCCACCTTTATTTTGTTTTGTTCAGTGGGCCGGAAATCACACCTACTGAACAGTCTCCTTTCTATTTATGTGCGTTGTTCTATGATCTCATCCAGGAGGAAGTGACACACTATTGAAAGGTAGTCGTCCCTTCATACACACATTGCTACAATCATTTTGTTCAAATGTTTCTGCCTGCAATGTAATTCTATGAGAGCTTAAAATAAGCCCTTACCACGCTGGCTCATTTCCGATATCATTTAACGAGGAAATGAGTGAAATTAAAGTAAATGAACCTAATGAATTGTTTCACAACGATGGAACTTTGTGAGCTGATTTGATAGCTTTATGAATCTTTTTATTATCTGTGCAGCAGGAAAAGAAGGATGATTCAAATAAAACCAACCATATTAGCACTCAAACACTTTTTCTTATACTGTTTTGCTCTATTTGTGTTTTGTTTTGTAGACCATCACTTATTACTGTGGCTTACTTCTTTCCTACACACACAAACAAAGAAATAATTAGTGTGCTGTAGACTAAATTGGAACACTGACTCCTGCACTTTTCAAACCATATGAGGGTATAATTTCCTCTCGGGAGGAAAAAACGTCAGGATAATGTTGTGAAGTAGAAAATTCCAGGACAACAAATCAAGTTCCATGTCAGAGACAATCTTCCATTTTACAGTCCTCATACTGAGCAGCTCATCTTGCACCAGAAACACTGTTTTAAAGACTTTTGCTGATCACAGACTGCTACACAAAACAAGCAGATGAGAACACAGTAAAAATAGGTACAGCAGCAGCACTGCTTTGTACCATAAAGCGCATTTTCACAGGTGCACAGTGTCACAACAGGCACATAATGAGCACATTTTCAACTGACTCTGCCCAAAGTTAAGGTGCTGGAACTAAAGTGTCTCAGCTCAGAGGAAACCGCAAGCGTGCATCGCTGCAGGGACGCCAGTTTAATCCCCAGCAACGGTGCTTCCAGCTTGCACGAGCGGATGTTATGGCTATGTTGAGTTCGGCTTCTGATTTTGAGTCAATTTTACAAAAATATATTTTAATCTCATTTTAGTGTCATTTTGTGTTTTTAATTATTATGTGTTCTAAGCACACTGAGGCAACAGCTGCTTTGATGTGCAGTTACAATGGTTGCATGTACTGTAGTTGTCTATGGTAAGGTTAGCTTAAAAGGCGCCATGAGCTGCGTTCAGAAGCTGTTACTCACTTTTCATTAAAATACTACTGATCTACTGATTAGAGCTGCAACAATTAGAAAAGCAATTGATTAGTTGGCTTAATTGATTAAGCGAGAAAATGATCAACAGAGTAATCATTAGTTGCAGCCCAACTACTGATATCTAACGAACACCAAAGACAGCAAACTCAAAGTAACATTCATGTTGCTGTTCCCACTAACTACTGTAAGCTTAAAGGACCAGTGTGTCAGTGGAATCAAACAGCGGTGTGTGTTAGTTGCAATGTGCAACTTCACCGCCCTTATTTCTGCCAATAGATCCTCCTAAATGTTAAACACTGGACCATTTTTGTTTTTAAGTGTGACCTTTTTCCCTAGTTTTTGTTTCATTTTCAACATGGAAAAAAGGTTATAAAGTCATATTTTGCTAAATTATCTCTCCGCTTTCCTTAACTGGCAGTGTTCACCAGTGGGAAGCCAGTGTGGGATTGTGGCCTTGTTGCTGTTTTGGTAAAACTGTTGTGTCCTGTCCTCAACTTCCTTGGACGATAGAGTCTGTGAGGTTTTACAGCAGACTGCATGGGGAGGGGTAACTGGCATCTTTAAATTACATGCAGTAAAGGGAAAAGTACAAATGGAAGGGGTACAAGCCAGAGTATTGTAACGTACTGCTGTGGGCACACTTCAAAAGTTACAATCCTGCTCTTATTTCCTTCTACAATATTCAGAAGAAAAACTGATTTTGGTCAAATTTGTGAAGGCGACTGTGACTGCAGTAAACATGACAAATCTGAAGCCACATAATGCAGACTTCATACACACATGCTTGGTGTGTGTGTGTGTATGTTAATCCTACCCTTATCTGGTGTTGTCTGGCCTCCTCCATGGTGCTCAGGGCACAGCAGTGAGCCTCCTGTAATCGATGCTCTCTCCTCTGATGTTCTCTCTGCATCTCTGCAAACACACACACACACACACACACACACACACACACACAGAAACATGTACACTCTGTTTAACGAGACAGATAACAGCCTCACAGGGGCTTAGACACACTGCTGGACGGCGTGTGACCAGATACCAAGCACATCATTCTATTTAATTTTATTAATTAAATAGAAAATATCAATATCCACAGTCTCCCCTAAACACAAAAATACCAAAAGTGGAGCATTTTTGTTTCAGCCCATCCTAAATTTCTGTTTCATTGCATCACATTTTTAAAGAAAGAACTGGTCTATTCCCATCATGCTGAGCTTGAGCAACCACGACCTGATCTCATGCTGTGTGCAAGTTATGATGAATGGTTTTCCAAACAACAGCACAGTGCTGTAATAGGAGCTGATTCCCTTGCTGACGTGTTGGAGATGTGATTGTTTGCATATAAACCCCAATAAGCGTGTGTCGACCAATGCTCTTCATCTAACAGCTCACTGTGGCTGTTTCTGCTTAAAGCTGCAGTAGGTAACCTTTATTAAAAATAACTTTTTGTCATTTTTCTAAAACTTTCACTTAGTAGTACATGAGAGAGATCATTTATGAAAAAAAATCAGGTTCCTCTGGTTCCTCTTAGTGCTTCTAATGGCATTTGCAAGAATCCACGAAAACAACCAACTCAGCATTAGGACATGGGGTGCGAGCTCTACCAGGTGAGCTACCAGGACCATCTGCAATGGTCTTTTGACAGGGCTCCTCAAAAAGACCATCAAAAAGCTTCAGCTTATTTAAAATGCAGTTCATAAAAGCTACCACAATAGTTTAGAATTTATTACAAAATGCGTGTTATTACATAATGAAGTAAAAATGTATTACATTTTGTAGAGTAATTACATAATGCTGTGTTATTTCATTTCATTTCATTTTAGATAGGACAGATGAAGATAGACAGGAAAGGGGGGGTGTGAGAGATGGGTGGGTGGCTCACAGCAAAGGGCTGCAGGTTGGCATGGAACCCAGGCTACTGCGGTAAGGACTGAACCTACATGGGGCGCGCGCTCTACCAGGTGAGCTACCATGCGCCCCAAGGAATGTAACTTTAAGCTACTAATTGTTGTCAACAATCGGCCTGTTCTGGCTGCAGTTCCCGCTTGGGAGGACAGGGGCATAGGCCGGCTTACCTTTCAGCTGTTGGGTCAGCAGCTCCCTCTCCTGGCTGAACTGAGACTGCAGCTGCTGCAGAGCTGACTGGGACTGAGACAACTGCAGCTCCAGGGACTGCTTCAACAGAGAGATCTGACAAGAGAGAGAAGGAGAAAATACAAAGAGCAGCAGATAAAATGACTGGTTCATCATCAAGCAGAGCAGTCATATAAGTACCAGGCTTGCTGACAGACAACAGACATGGACAGGTCAGTTTGCCCACACCCTCGACATAAAAACAGTAATTACACACTGAGCAGCACTGACAACGTGTTCTCTATCTCTCACTGGCTTTGTTTGTGTGCAGCAACTTCACACTCAATTTCTTCTTTTGAGCAAATGGCTTCAGTCGTTTAAGAAACATGAATCTCTAGGAAAAAACACGTTTAATTTACTGCATGTGTAATTAGGTCAACATTAAAAACATCTTTGTGTTTCCTCTTGCGTCTGTCTTTCCTTCTTTAATCCTCACATGAAAATGTTTCTTTACAAATTGTTTTTACTTCAGTCGAGATTTTTTGACAGCTACTCACTGGTAATGTTATCGACATATAACACTGTGAGTGCTGAGAGCAGCTCGTCTCAGTGAGCCGACAGCCTGTCAGGCGGTGAGTGTCAGCACACGCAGCCAAATTACAAAAAGCCAAATAGTGTAAGTCCCATCAGAGCACACAAAACAGTTTTGTTTAGAGGAGATACTGGAACTATTAGGGGCCTAAGTGAACTCTCTCAGCATGACGGCTCCGGTCCTCCACACGCCACTCTTCCTCAACCTCCAGCAGTTAAATCCCCGGCAGGATTTAGCGCCGTCGGAGTACTACATTAGTGACTGCAAGGTAAGATGGATTTAAAATGAGAGGATGAGGAGCAGGGCTGGGATGAAGGTTGTGGGGTTTTGCCCTGGATATGGATTTGAAAAGACAGACAGATGACCTATACAGTATATCCTCCTCCTCCCTTCCTGTGTGCATCTGTCTGCTACAATGAATCATTTTTACATTGGCAGAGAAATAACTGGGCATACACGATTAAAAAGGTGGAAATACCTTAAACAACCTGCAGTGCATGTGTCTAACCCTTGATGTCTTAATTAAACACACTCTCATGCGCACACAGCGACACACACAAACTGCAGCCTGTGGCTAGAACCTTGTAATGAAAATATCTTAATGAAAAAGAAGTCATTATAGATAAAGACGGCACATCCACCCACACACACACAAAACAACAGAGACACTTCGCTCAGTTAGGGACTTTAATATCCAGTAAATCATTTCCCTGCCACTTAAACAGCACATCAAGTGTGCAAGGCTAGTGCCTGGTTTGACCTACAGACACCATAGTACTATTTTTCAATCGGGCATTTTTTTGACGTTTGACGTTTGGTTTCTTTACCTCAACATTTTTTTAATGTTCAGAAATGGATACATTTTTATGTGCAAACATTTCTTGGAGTCATTACCTCAACACTGACCCTGAAATCACAGTTGAAGAGAGACTTACCACATACAGAAATGTCAAAGTCAATTCTAAAGAAGGAAAAAGTTTGAAGGGATTCTATTCTGACTGGGTTTTATTATTTGCTGCTGCTTTCCTTATTGTGTGTAGTGAATTCTGCCATTTCCCACTGGCATTAATAAAGTTTGTCATTTAAATTTGGGGTGACGTCACCTGCTCACATGGCGAATTGAGGATACAGTAATGTACATTTCCACAGCATGACATCCATCAAACAGCAAGCCGTGTCACACCCACTACTCTCATTTTTAACTCAACTCAACTCAGTTTATATAGCACCTTTCATGCAGCCCAAAGTGCTTCACAGAGCAGGATTAAAACAAAAAGAAAAAACAAACAACAAAACAATGAATAGAATTTTGTAAGATTTAAAAAATACAGCTTTATAACAATAAAAAATTAAAATAAATAGACAAAGGATAAAAAATAAAAAAACAGGTGCATTTAATAGTTTTCACTCTGCAATCAATACAAATCATATATACTTTTCCCAATTAGTGTTAAGCTACTGTCAGTGAAACTCATCACTTTCACATCAAAAGCCCACCAGGAAAGCAAGGGATAATCACATTTAAACAGCTGGAAGCCTTTTAATGTGAAAGAACTGTGCAGGAAATGTTGAGTTTCATGGACAGTAGCTTAACACTGTACAAAATAACAGCAAAGCAGCTGCCAATGGGATTAATTAGTGAATGAAAGTAGTGTTTCAGTTAAAAACGAAAAGCTCAGAGCACCATAGTGGTGGCTATGAGGTGATTCTGTTGTGGAAATATGTGTTTACCTGAATTAGTAAAGAAACATGGAGGAAGTGTTGTTTAATACCAAAAAAGTGGGGATATGTTTTACAAAAATGTGATAGAATATTAATAACAAGGGAGATTAAGAATAAAAGTCTCTCTAATATAAGCCTGTTTGGAAATAAGGGCCTGGTTCTCTTTGTAGTTGAGGCTATTTGGGAAGCTACTGCATCACGAAGCAGCTACACATTTTTTTAATATAGTTGATAACTCCATCATACAAGACACTTTCTGTTGTCACTTTGACAGCTGTTAGTTTCAATCATGGATCATTCGTGAACAGTACGAGCTGCTTGACTCTTGAAAATGTAAAGTGACGTGTTTTATCTGAGGGGAGTGCGAGTGTCTCCCTGCGTCGTATTCGAGTCTCATCTCTGCTGGTGTTTCAGTAGAGCTGAAAGTAGGTCAATACAGTGCAGATCACTGTAGTTATACCTGTTTCCATTTGTCTCCACATCAGCCTAAACTAGCAGAATGGCTGCTGCCTGCCTGTTCCAACATGCTGTGTATGCATGCCCACATGTAAATATGTGAATATTTATATTATGTACATGAATGCCTACCAGTACTGAGGTAAGGGATAAATTCATACTGTAGAGTGAATTACCTTGGTTACCTGGTTGGGTGTTAGTCTACAGTTTTAACTGATAATGAAGGGTGTTCCACAGGGTTCAATTTTAGGTCCACTTCTTTTTACTATTTTATTTTTTTTATTTTTACTATATTTCACTTTTAACTAACTGCTATATATAATTACATGTGGATGATAAAATATTGTATTGCATTGCAGATTCCATCCAGCTTACTGTGGAGAACCTACAACATTCTTTTAACAATTTTCAAACTGCACTCATTAATCTTAAACTTGTATTCACAGAAAACTAAGTTCATGCTGTAAGTGATATTGTTAGTAAAACTTTTGTATTTCCACTGTACAAGGATTCAACTTCTTAAAGCAAAAAATGGGTAAGTGTATTTCCTATTTTGTTGAATACTACCTTAAGATCAGTGGTATTCTTTCAGCATATCATGGTCTCTATTGTTAACACAACAATAAACAACAGTTCTGACTCTATTTTTCCCAGTTTTTCATTAAAAAAACTTAACAAACAGACTGGCTTTCTTAGAACTTAAAGCCGTCTGTAGCTGAATTATCCCGATAATTTATAATAACATGAAGATGAATAGTATGTATGCACAAATAGTAATAATAACATACTTAAGGGCGCATACATGCACAATAATTAATTTGGTGACGCTCTGTACAGCACAGACTCATATACACGAACTTCAGAGGGCTTTGTTCTCATGTAGCTAAAACTAAAAAAAGAAAAGAAAAAAGCACAATGCAGCGAAGCCCTTTGATGAGACAAAACACACATGAGGCATCACAGACACACACTCAAACACACACGTACATACGCACACAGAGTGTAAGCTCCTTAGGTATTTGGTCTGTGACATTGTTTGATGTTTATTTTCAGACACATGCAGCATTTTGTACTGACTCATATTCACACAGATACCAAAACCAATGTAGCAGATTTAGATAAGGCTCACTAAAGAAGCCTTTATGGAATTATTTTTTAATGATTAGACCAATTTAAAAAGGGCCCACCTTGTCCTCACTGTCTTCCAAATGTTAATGTCACACCTAAAACTGAAAGCATTAGTCAGTTAATCAGTTAGTTGATGGATAAAAAAAATTGACACTTTGTAGACCCAATCGATTCATATAATTTATATAACTGCAGATTTATCGCTATCCCACACCCTAGCCACATCATAACAATTTTTAAATTTGTATTTCTTTTGGCTTTATTGCTGAAAACATCAATGAATGATCTCTGATTGGGTTTGATTTTTAAGAGCTGAGCCAAAATTTTTCAAATCGACTGGACCAGGAGAGAAGAGACGGACTCTCTGTTTTTGTCGATGATGATTGGTGCTCTAGCGCAGTCAAAGTGGATGGACAGTTTATTTTTATGTGAAGCCATATTATCATTACTATGTTGTTGCTACTGTTTACATTCCTCCAGACGCAAAAGCACTGCAGAATTATTTCCTAGGTGTATATATGTGTGTGAATAACTGTATTTATTGGTCTAGGCGAAATCAGGACGAGCCTCTTTGAGGTTTCAGTTGTGACTTAGCTGAGCTCGGAATTACCCAGAGGCAGTATGCTCAGCATGGTAGGCTACATGAGTATAAGTAGACAAGTGTCTGAGCTTTCAGCCCAGCATCAAATGGTTCTCTCTGTTGCTACAGAGCTTTAATTCTGACCTGAGCAGCTCTGCTCATTACCACTTTCACTCCCATTACAAAAATTCTTTAGCAATGTAGCTAGAAGGAGAAGCCTATTATTTTCAAAAGCATCAGATCTTCTTCTGTGTGTTATGTGTATGTACAGCACATATGTGTATAAGGATCACTTGGCTGAGAGATGTGGCTTTGGGAAAACCTAATTAAAAAAACAGAAGCTGTTCTTTTCATTCTGCATCGCTCTGAAATTGGTAAACGGGATCAGAAGTGAAATCCTTTAGTCTTTTCAGGCCCGATTTATTGTTGTTGTGGGAATTATGTAAATTGTAAAGGTGAAGTGGTTGTTTATGGCATCAGTGTTAATCACATTTACAGACACAGTTTGAGGCAGCAAAGCCTGTGAGAGTGTGCGTGTGAGATAGATCTCTCCTCGGACAGACACTATTCTTAATCCAGGCTGTCTACATCGAGTGGAGCTGTCAATCAAAGTGGGTGGATGGGGGCGGTTAAGGTCAGGTTTGGGGTGCCCCTATTTCTATCAAAGCCAGGGAATAGATAAAAATCGCTTTCAACCACAGTCGCCCTTGGTTTAAATGAAAGTTTTGTGGTCAAACTACAGCTCCTAATGATATTTGCAAGAATCCACCACGGCAGAACTAAAAGGGCCCCAACCAAACTGTGTATGTGGATTGTGTTTTACCTGTTCCAGCAGGTCTTCCACCTTCCTCTGCCAACCCTCTCTTGTTGCCATCATCTCCAGTTCTTTCTGCTGGGAGATCTGAGTCAACGTCGCCTGTTTGTCTGCTTCATACTCCTCAGTCAACTCCTCCTTCAAAAGACGCACCTCTTCCCTATATAGAGACAGGCAGAGTGTTACATTTGATTGCATTTGTGTCCGTGTGTGCATTGTGCTTAAAGTCCTGCTAAAAGTTACCTGTAAATATGCATCTATAAACTTGGTGTGGATATTGTTAATTTCCTCTCCGTTCCTATTAATATCTATGCCTGCTTTGTCAAAACAAGTCGACTTGTGATGCTAATAACAAGTATGACTGTGAAGCGGAGGGGGTGAGAGATGACAGTGATGAATGAGACAACAAATGGAAAGAGCAAAAGCACAGTCTGAGACATACGAGGAGAGAGCTTTCTTTTTGTTTTCTTTACCGCAGTGCATCTCTCCATTTCTGGTCCAAGTCATCTGCCATCTTGTCCATCTTCTGTTTCTCTTCTGTTCTGATGGACATCACTCTGGCCTCGTGCTGCTGTCTCTGTGTCTCGATCTCCTCCTATGAACACAAAAAGGCGCAAATAATTTAGCTGCAATACTGAGTTCGATCTGCTCATTACTGTAGCTTTCTGAATCCAACAATTCACACATTCACACACACCTCACACAATAATTGGCCAAACTTGTGGAGGTGAGATGGGAGCCAGGGTTTGAACTTTTCTCTCTCTAACTCTTGTTTTTTCATTCTTCACACAAGTATTTCTGTCGCTTTTCATGAGAACAACGGTGAGACCGTCTGAAAATATGCGCTGTTGTTCACGCATTTAATTGATTATTCATTCTCAATGATTGCCAGCTTTTCAGTTATGTATTTAAGTCCACATCTTGTTTTTTAACTGAGCCGTTACAGATAATACTTCTCATCAGGCCAAAATATTCATTTTTTTCACATTATTTTTCAAGTTAAGTTTCAAGATAATAGCTGCTATCTTTTGTTTTTTTATGCTGTTATCCCAAAATGTTATGCTTACGTTGTCTCAACATACTACACATAGTGTTTTTGTTATCAGGACCTAAATGTGTCATTAGAGTATCTCAAGATAATGGCTGTCCTTACTCACTGGTGCAGTCACAATCACCGTTTAATGGCTTGAAATCATGAGATAAATAAGTCTGTATATTGAGATAAGAGTGTAAGTAAATATTTTATACTTTAATTTAAAGGGGTAGTTTGGGTTTTTTGAAGTGGGTGCGAGAGGTCTTGGATTCATATTCTGGACGAGCCCCTATTTGTCCAGCACTTAGGCTGAGACAAAGATGGAAGACCAGATGAGTTACAATTTGAAAGCAATTTATTTACAAAAATAATGATAAAGAATGGGAAAAGAACATGAAAGTCATTAATTACTAATGTACAACAGCGATGGAAGAGGGAGAGAGATCTCCCATGGACTGTGGTGAGCATACATACATACATACAACCCCACTTCAAAAACTAAGGACTCAAAGTCCAAAGGGTAATAGTGTATGAGCCTAAAATGTATATATGGTCAAATAAAGTGATGGTTATGTTATAAAGTCTTTTGCAGAGTCCTAAATCCTAAACAATAAAAAATTTAAAACTATTACACATTTCATAAAACCTCAATTTGCTATCCCAGATGCAGAATTTCAATAGCTGAACGTTGGATGACTCATGATGCCCACCTCCACATCTATTTATAATACCTTGGCTACAGGGCATTTATAATGTGCTGGTTCCGAGGCAGAAACTAACTTCACCAGGTCAGCTGTTTCCAGCTGCCGAAGAGGCTCCGGGGTTTATCTGCTCATGACTTCATTAAAAGGCCTAAAAGCTCTTCTCTTCAGCTCTGAGGTAAAGTTTTGCTTGAGTGGTTAAATCCAGACTCGTCTGTTTAGGATCACAGAAATTATGTTCAAGAAGACATTTTCCATTTCAGTGAATGTAAATATGCTGAAAAAGAAAAAAAAACTGTGGTATTTGTCATCAGTGTCGTGTCTGGTAGGGATGTAGGGAGATTCACATCTGCATATTCTCAGTATCAGTATCATTTTCTTTAGTGATATTCCAGAAAAGGTTTCCACAGTACATATTAATAATATGGTGATATGAATATGTTTTAACAAACATCTGCCAATTGAAAGCCAGATACAGTATAATCTGCTGCCTTTGACTGTTGCTGACTCTCTGTAGCCATTTTTCATTGTTTTAACACAGTGTTATCTGGGGTTTGGATATTTATAGTTTGGGCCACGCTGAGCTGGATTTCTCAGATAAGGTGACTAATGGTCTCGTCAGCATTTGAGACAAAACAGAAGAAGCACTCAGTGGAGATGAGTCACTGTAACTGAGCCTTGCAATTTGATGATAATAATTTGAATAATTTCATTGTACTGTGACATGTATCCTGATTGAGTCATAAATAAATGATATTTTTGAAGACAGAAAAATCTGCAGGGCAGACTGTGACATATAAAACTGGTTCACTTGCAGTAGTTTGAGCCTTCAGTTGGATTGGCATGTTCATCCAATGATATGTCAGAGCCTACAGTCATTCAGACACACTCACCCAGCATTTCAACCATGTCTTTCTTAATGCTAAAGGTGGAAAAAATACCAATACATCAATGTTAAGTATATGTAGGGTTGTAAGAAAATAGCAATACACTTCACACTATCACTATCGTGATATTTTGTTTTGTGATGTCGCATTTTGTGTTTAAACCCCCAACAGCTAGATAGCAGTGTTGTAAACATACACTGCTATGATGTTGGATGTTACAGGGGCTGTGATGAATTCAAATGCAGATCCCACTGTTATGGTTGCATATGCAAGTTTTCTGTAACTCCAAATATTGACTTGCTCATAATATCGCAATATACTGAATTATAACCCCTGTATTGTGATATGTATTGCCGGATTTTTAGCAACACATAGCCCCAGTAGAAATGCTGATTATTATAAGTCAAATGGAAGTAAGTTAGTAAGTATAAAGGTTAACTAAGTAACTTACTTAAAGGTCCATTTAGGAGGATCCTTTGGCAGAAATAGTATATAATATTCATAAGTATGTTTTCATTAGTGTATAATCACCCAAAAATTAGAATCATGTTTTGTTACCTTAGAATGAGCTGTTTTTATCTACAGAGGGAGCGGGTCGAATGACCATGTTTGTACAGTAGCCCAGAACAGACAAACCAAACACTAGCTCTAGATAAGACCTTTTACATTTTTTTACGAGTTTAACGGCCACCATAGTTTCTCCTACATACTTGGAAGGCGAGCAGTATTCAGTTAGTTGCAATTTGCAACTGCTGCTGGATAGCAATATATCATACACGCTGGTGCACATTTTTAAATACACATTCTAACATTTCTAACAATCAGTGCTGGATTATTATTATTATTATTATTATTATTATTATAAATCACTTTATATTTTTTACAATTTCATTTTATAAATTGACAAAAGTTTAACTGAACTTTTTGGGTTCTTTTTACTGTCCTCTTATAAAAGTGATAAGCTGCTCAAGGGTTCATGTCCTTTGAAACAATAGCTGGTCTGAATTCAGGGCTCGGCCGGCTCAGCACTTGTGTATTTCCTGCAATGAGCTCAGTGTGAATACAAGATACAATCCTGTGTTAGGCTTGGCTTTTTTAAACAGTCCAAATCCTTTCTTTTTATAGAAGCCAGGCTGTGGTGGGAAAGCAAAGAGCACCACTCTGCAATTTCATCTAATTATCACTCCTCATTCAGCCTCCCTGTCCTCTTTTATCACCCCCTTTCTCTCTTTTATTTGGCTGACTTTATTCATTTTTTGTGCGACTTTCCACCAGCTGTGACTTTTTCACTCATTCATATTCTAACTTGCTCTTTGAGTGTGTTGTTGCTGACTGGGTTAAGTTAAATTCATTTGCTTAATTTTATTTACATTCCAACCTGTTTTGTTGTCATATTTTGATTCAATTTCCAACAACTGCCTAGATATTACAATTATTATTTTTAATATTAATAATAATATTAATAAGAACAACCAGTTTCTCTCTCTCCCTCTCTTACACACACATAGACCATATTCTCTAACACACACACTCTTCCCACTGCTCATACCAGCAGGGCTCTTTTTAAACACAGGACCACTCAACTCATGACAGCCTCATCATCATTATCTCACAGCTGGCCTTCAGTACTGCACTTATTTCTCAGTTAAATCTCATTTCCTGCTTTCAAAATCTTCTTCCCCTCTCCCACCGCTCCTTCCTTCCTCTTTATCTCACTCTTGCTTTGCTGAAACTTCAGAGGAGCTAATTACAAAAACCATCAGCAACTCAGCAATTGAAGTTTGTTTGATTGGCTGACCAGTTGACATCAGACTGTGTGACCGACTTTCTGACTCACTTTGACCTCCTACTGTAGGTGATAAAGCTAATTACTGGCTGACAGGTTGACTGGCTGAAGTCTATTTGAGACAGATTTAAGATTGCACCCTTAACCCTGACAAGAACTCTACTTTCTAATTCAAATGCTCTCGAAGTTAGGGTTATGTTGTGGTTAGGGTTGTGTTGAATAAGGGGACTGGCACCTTTTTTGGTCCAATTCAGGCACTGCCTATAATACTGAGACCATTTTCACTATGGATACTGGCAATAGGGCCAATATTGGCCTAATGCATATCGCTATTGTGTCAGTATCG